ACTTACCTCGACTAACCTGTACCCCCGCACATTGACTCGGTACCGGTACCCCCTGTATATAGCCTCGTTATTGTTATTTTATTGTGTTACTTTTTATTTAATTTTTTACTTTCGTTTATTTAGTAAATATCTTCTTAACTCTATTTATTGAACTGCATTTGTAAGTAAGCATTTCACGGTAAGGTCTACACCTGTTGTATTCGGCGCATGTGACAAATACAATTTTATTTGATAAGATACTAAATGTACATTATTCTGTCTGACTGGGAAATGTCTTATTTTCTCTCTTTCAGATCTGGGAATGGGGAGCCAAAAACCGTAAGTTTTCCTGTTTTGAGTATGTGTCACTTTGTGTTTTGACATGTCATGGATTACAATCACAAGCGCTCAATGAACTTTACATTTTAAGAGGTTGGGGTCCTCTGTCTTTTCTTGCTCTCTTTCTATTGGCTTATTGACTGATTGACATCTCTTCCGCAGGGGGGAGAATACGATGGGAGGCTGGTCAACTCCTCAGGTAGCTCCTCCAAGTTGGGGAGCTCCCATGGTAAATCTTGTCTGTGTCATATAGCATGGATTGCAGCCACATGGCAGTAACAGGCATGGCATGGAGCCAATCACACACGTCGCTCCTCTCTGACTCTCCAGGGTGGTCCAATCACATTTGGAATTTGGACATTTGGTGTTTGGTTTAAAAGGGGTGAACATTTTGTGGGAAAACTATGGAGAGCTCTGAGAGGGCTGAGGTTTGTCCCAAACCAAGGAGCTGCTTGGTTCTGACCTCGAGCAAGCCATCGGACACTCATCTACATATTTCCTTATGTCAACCCCCATTTCTTTAGCAACAGCTCCTCTTTCCAGTGTCCAAACGAAACCCAATACAAAACAGTCCCTTTTAGATCGCTTTATCTTCATCATTTAATTGCTGCACTAACCATTAGCCAAAAAAGCTTTTGCTATAGGGTCTGTTGTTACTGTATTAACCCATGGCTTCAACTGTTCATTTAGCCAAAGCCTCACCACTGACATGAATATCAGATAATTAGTTGCTGATTAAACTGGCTTGCCTGATCATGTATTCTTATAATTGACCCTGTGCTCTTCAAATGCTTCTGCATGAACCTGATTTTAGAGGTTAGGTTAGATATTTTTTATGTGCTGTGCTTTGCTGTTCTCTCTGTGTTTGTGTGTGTGTGCGCGTGTGTGCGTGTGTCTTAAAACAGTTTTTTATGATGTCTTTGTCTATGTTTTGTATGTGTGCGTGTCAGTGATATGTCTCTGTGTTTGTTGTTGCAATGTTGTCTTTACTGTGCCTGTGTTGTATGTAGTGTAGTAACGTCCCACCTCCTCTCCCCACTCCACACCCCTAGAACGTTCCAATGGGGTCCCCTTCTTTTATGGGGTCTTACCAAGGATTCAGCATGGTAAGACCACCCCGCCCTCAACCTAGGACCATTAGGAGCACCTAAGATGGCCAATGACCCCTTTAGGTGGCCCATGTACGCATCTCTAAAATGGCTGCCATAGTGTCTGACTGTCTCCTCTCTCTCTCTCAGGGCGGGGCGGCCGGCACTGGAGCTCCCATGATGCCCATGGTTAGGCCAGGCTTTGGAGCCCCTGCAGCCCCAGGAGCACCGGTAAGACACACACACACACACACAGAGAGAGTACACACAGACACACACACATATACACACACAGACACACCTATTTCATGAAACACTGTTTCCTGTGACAGATGGGATCTCCAGGGATGGCCGGGAGCCCGAGGAAGCCTCCGCCCCCCAAGAATGCCCTGGACGACCTCAACATCAAGGACTTCATGTAAACCCCTCTAACCCAACCCTCCAAGGTAGGGTTCTCTCACAGTGGCACCAAACGACATACACACAATGCAAAGAAAAGAGACAGTTACTGTGCATTCAGAAAGTATTCAGACCCCTTGACTTCTTCCACATTTTGTTACGTTACGGCCTTATTCTATAATTGATTCAATTCATTTTTTCCGTCATCAATCTACACACAATACCCCATAATGACAAAGCGAAAACAGGTTTAAAAAACAGAAATAACTTATTTACATAAGTATTCAGACCCTTTGGTATGAGACTCGAAATTGATCACTGGTGCATTCTGTTTCACTTGATCATCCTTGAGATGTTTTTACAACTTGATTGGAGTCCACCTGTGGTAAGTTCAATTGATTGGACATGATTTGGAAAGGCACACATCTGTTTATATAAGGTCCCACAGTTGACAGTGCATGTCAGAGCAAAAACCAAGCCATGAGGTCGAAGGAATTGTCCGTAGAGCTCAGAGACAGGATTGTGTTGACGCACAGATCTGGAGAAGGGTACAAAAACATTTCTGCAGCATTGAAGGTCCCCAAGAACACAGTGGCCTCCATAATTCTTAAATGGAAGACGTTTGGAACCACCAAGACTCTTACTAGAGCTGGCCGCCCGGCCAAACTGAGTAATCGGGGGAGAAGGGCCTTGGTCAGTGAGGTGACCAAGAACCCGATGGTCACTCTGACAGAGCTCAAGAGTTCCTCTGTGGAGATGGGATAACCTTCCAAAGCATGGTGGTGGCAGCATCATGCTGTGGGGATGTTTTTCAGCGGCAAGGAGACTAATTAGCAAACATTTCTAAAAACCTGTTTTTGCTTTGTCATTATTGGGTATTGTGTGTAGATTGATGTGGAAAAAAACGATTTAATCCATTTGAGAATAAGGCTGTAACGTAACAAAATGTGGAAAAAGTCAAGGGGTCTGAATACTTTCCGAAGGCACTGTACATAATAACATTGTGGTAATCGTCCCTCTCTCTGTCTCTGTCTCTTCTCTCCTGAGGTTGTTGTTGTGTCTGGAGCTATGGATGTGGATGTGTGTACTCCCCGTCTCCCTCCTGTCACGCCCCAGCCCCTTCAGCCAACCAACCATCAGCACTACGACCCCTGTCCTCTGACGACCCCTGTCCTCTGACGACCCCTGTCCTCTGACTTCCCCGGAACCTCTGTCTGCTGTTGTAGCAAAAACTGTGGATGTGAATCATAGATACAGAAAACAAAATTGTGTGTGTGAGTGTGTATGTACTTCAATGTTATCCTTTACCTAAACTAAGACAAAATGTACCATAAAAAATTCCAGTGTATTTAGATTAGTTCTGGAACTCCCATGTGTCAGCTGACTTGGAATGGTGGATCTGTGATGATTTTCTTGCGGGTTTCCCAGACGAGGACTGTGTTGTTAACCATGGACTGTGTTCGGTGTGTGTAAACCTCACTGGCCAATCCCTGCCCTATCCCGTCCCTCACTATCCAATCAAATTCTGTGCTGAACTGTCTTTCTGACATCATTCAACACTTAGTTGTACTTCTCTCCATTAATTGATCCATCCAGCCTCTTTTAGAACAGATACAGTTCTATTGGTGTATATTTATGAATATTGAAAGATGTACAACTGTCACCACAAATCTAGGTTTACAAATCATATGACAAAATGTTTTTTTGTTTTTTTGTCTGTTTTTTTTTATTGTGTGTTACATGCAACATTCGTGGACTATGTTAAAATTGACATATGCATTTTAGAATATTTTAAAGTATAGATTATACATATATTTCTTTAATCTTTATTTTGAGATAAAATGTATCATATATTTTAGTTATGTCTATGAATTCTAAGGTTTAAAAAAATTCAAGGAGTTTAAAAAAAGATCCTTTCCCTTGTATATATCTCTATATCTGTATTTGGAGGCAGTATTGAATGCAATCTCAGCCCCCAGTGTTTACTGTGGCTCTCCCTGTTGGTGTGGAGTGTTACTGCATTTGAGCGTGTCAAGTGAAGTTGATCTGAGCTGCATCCAAATACATTTAGAAATCCTAATTTACTTGTCTCCTTTCCTTAACGGCCAATTATCTGAATTGAATCGATAGATGAAAGGCAATTGGTGAAAACCAATGCAGTCCTTACACCTATCAGTGGTCATGAAGTGAAGGCGACAAGGACAATTGTTGGGACACAGCCTATGACCACCTAAGGTCATTGTGGAGCAGTGATCAGTAGGGTTGTATTGTCTCCCGTAGCAACGCTCCAGAGGTGTTGGGAACTCATTGGCTGTAAACCGCTCAGATATACACTGGATGTTCCATGTGTTGTTTTTCTTCCAAAGTGACTATCTTAATCTGTTGTGAAAAAAAAGTATTGAGAAAGAAAAAACAAATAAAACATAAAAAAGAATGTGGATAACAATGTTTGCTATATATTTGGTTGAAGGCAGTGTTTGGTTCTTGGATGGCATCACTCCTCTCCTCTCCCCCACTTGCATGTGAGTCCCTTGAGATGCAATAAAATACAAATACACTGATGGAAAGTCTTCAGGCCTCATCACTTATGTCTCCACTGTTGTCATTCATGCTTGAACATGTTCAGTCCATCACAAGTATTTTGGTATTCAACGGTAGGTTTTAATATAAATACTTTTTTTATTTTATTTTTTACATCACTATTGATATCACATGTTTTATCAAGCAAAATGTATGTTTAGGACATACTCAACAAAATACACATTTACACTCAAAATATAGACCTTGGAAAAAATATTCTGATAGCAAAACTATGAATCATGTAGAGACAGTAAAAACAAAGATTTGCTCATGTAAAATCATCACCAATGGAACTCATCTTAGCACCCATATTATGTGCACAATGGGCATTTCTTGGAAGCAAAACATACAAAGGCACATGTGACAAAGAAACCTGTTTTTAGTGCACCATAGAATTTCGAGACCTCCAAACTATTATTTTGGCAGTCTAGATAGGGATCTGTTTGATTGACCAGAGCAAGAAAATCATCCCATATTCCAAAGTCCTATTCCATCTGATCTGTCTGTGCTGGCCATAGTTAGTTTGTCCACCACCGTCTCAGTGAAAGGCGCTACATGAATGCAAATCTTATTTTTTTCTTCCTCTGATCAGTCTGACAGATCCCTGGTGTCTCAGGCCTCCCTACACATGCTGGGATCCCCATGGATCCAGTGGCAGATCTGGGCGTATTTAGGTGGAGTGATCCTCACCGCCATATTATAGTCCCTCTGCTCACCCCCACCCCCGTCCCCGTCTACCCAGCGATGCCCTGAGAACACCCCGATAACCTTCCGCTGCCACTTCCCCTTATTGGACCCCTCCACTTCCTGTCTGAGGCGGATGTATACACCAGCGCCTGACGCCCCCTGCTGGGCGTCACAGTGCTGATACAACAGGTCGTCTGACTCCTCTGTCACTGAACAGAAGCGATAGACCACCTTTTCCCTCTCTCCCTCCGTTTGTCCTCCCTCTGGCTCGTTGTCGAACCCTGAGAAGTGGATGCGACCCAAGGGGAGAGGCTTTGCAGCGGCCAATAAACCCAGTTTCATGTGCTTCTGTTTGATTGGCCGTTTGAGCTCCAGGAGGGCGTAGTCGTAGCCGTGGGATACGGCGTTGGTTCTATCTCCTGTGTGTATCCAACCTTTGGGGATGTGGGTTTGTTTTACACGTGTCCAGTGGAAGGAGGGCTGCTTTTTGGGTTCGGTGCTGCGTTGTACACGGCTACTTCTGCTACCTCTCTTTCTCTGCCTAGTCCCTCCTCCTCTCCTCTCCTTCTCCATGTTCCCTCCTTCACCTCCCTCTGCTCCAGTCTCCCCATCAACCCTGTTCTGTATCTCCATTTCGCCCTTCCCCCTTCTCTGAATCCCTCCTCTCCGTCTCTGCTCCTGTCTCGGTTCTTCTCCATCTATTCCATTCCCTTTCTCCTCTTCTCCTACCACTTCCTCTCCTTTCCCCTTTCCCTTGCTTTCCCCATCTCCTCCTCTCCTCCCCCCTCTCCTCCCCCCTCTCCTCCTCCCACCCCCCCTACCTCGTTTAGATTTGAACTGTAGGACTCCCACTTTAAGCCTGCGGACCCCCTGCAGGTAGTCCTTCCCATCGTGGACACAGTGAGCCGCCGTCAGGATGTGTTTGTCAGACACTTGGACCCCAGAGCAGCCCGTGGACAGGCGGACCGCCGTGGAGAACGGGTAGCTGGTGGTGAAGTGGCTGTCCGAGATGACGAAGCGCCCGTCCTCGCCGTACACCTGACGTTTCCTGCGAGTGTGTGAGGTTTTGGGTAATGGTGTGTGTGAGGTTGTGTCATTCAGGCCCTGCAGCGTGACGTCAGTTTGTGTGCGCGTGCCATTCTCGTACACCGTCTCGTATCCCAGCATGCTCTCCAGCGCAGCCCAGTCGGGAGGGGGGAGGGCGCTCTGACACTCTATCCCACCCCCCCCCCTCCTTATCCCCACCTGCCCCCTCAGTCTTCCCACCAAACGTGGGGGTCCGCAGATGCACTGTGTGCCTGTCCAGAATCAACGGGACCCTCTGCACGGACCAGCCATACTCTTCATCAACACCTTTACCGTGGCCCCCCCAGACAGGAACACACAGGGGCAGGGCACAGAGCAGCAGCAGACACAGGGGAATGGGAGCCATCACACTGCTCCACCAGGGCCTAAGAGACAGAGAGAGGGAGGAGTGCGCCAAAATTAACAGGTCACTGGTGTATAAAATGAGGCCAGCAGAGGGCGCTCAATCCCCCACAGTCATCAACAACTGCTTGAGCGTTATTGAAGCCTTCTCTTTGCAAAGGTGGTGTCACCGGCAGATGGCGCTGGTAGTGAAGTCCATTACGTTTGGAACAGTTTGTGGCACAGGGTGAGAAATTGTTACATTTAATTGGCTCCAACAATAGCTTAATTTCCTCTGATGATTCCATGTTTTACAACTATTCTCTACACAAGGAAAATATTATCATACCAAGCTTGAATTCAAAACAATTATTTGTTTGAATACAGGACAAATTAAAAAGCAACAGCTTGATCAAAAATCACCATCAGTTGTATGAAAGTGACCAGGAATATGATTTGATAAATATGTCAACGAATTATGATTAGAGGAATTACTGGACATATCAGAGTTAGTATATTAATCTGATCCATAATGATGATAAAACTCACAATGGTCATAGTAGCCTAATCACACAATGCAAAGTAAATAATAAAACTGTAAGAGTGGAAATTGGACATTGATTAGTAATGCCTGATGTGTCTAAACGTTCCTGTCTGCCACGTGAACTGATTGAAATGGTAGTTGCTTCTAGAGATAACAAAATAAACATACCTGCAAGCTTTCGATAATAAAAGTTGGAGAAGTCAGCAAAATTCCTCAACAAAAAAAATATATGTATTTTATCCAGTCGGGTACCATTCAGTGCGTGAAAGACCGCGTCCCATCATCGCCCGCGCAACAAACAACCGGAACGCAATGAAAAGCCGTAAGCGAGATCTTCACTGAGATTTGTCCATGATGAAAAAAACATTTGATGGAAAAAGGTGCGGTTCGTTCATGTTACAAGACGAGACCGGGGGAGGTACTCCCTGGTGATGAGGAAAGCGATGAGAAGGAGGACTGAAGTTGAATTCAGTTATTGAGCCTGTGAACTGTGGAATTCCTGTCCAAAAGCAGGTAAATCATATAAAACGCGTTATTGGTTGATTTCAGCTCCCATAAACGTATTTTCACTCCCCACCTCACACATCTGGTGGAGTTGCTTTGAAGTAGGCTAAATATCCTGCATTTATGCCTTGTTGCTGACCGAATAACTTTGGGGATATCTTATAATTAACCATACCAGACATGTTTTATGACAAAATAACTAATTGAATGGTGGCCTTTGAGTTTGTGTGTGGCATATTTTTGTGTGTTTTCAGTGTCTGTTGGCAAAACTGTAAATGCAGATGGATTGTGACTTCACACACTGCTGAGCAGTCTCCCAGTCAGAGGCAGATGATCTGGGGTTGCACTCACGCAGGTAGGCAGGCAGGCAGGCAGGCAGGCAGACAGACACAGACAGTCAGAGACAGAAACTGTCAAAGTCAACAGAAAATGGTGGTATTATCCCTTTTTCAGGACCCTGTCTTTCAAAATAACTTCACAGATCTTCATTGTAAAGGGTTTAAATACTGTTTCCCATGCTTGTTCAATGAACCATAAACAATTAATGAACATGCACCTGTGGAACGGTCACTAACAGCTTACAGACGGTAGTCAATTAAGGTCACAGTTATGAAAACTTAGGACACTAAAGATGCTTTTCTACTGACTCTGAAAAACACCAGGGGTCCCTGCTCATTTGCGTGAACGTGCCTTAGGCATGCTGCAAGGAGGCATGAGGACTGCAGATGTGGCCAGGGCAATTAATTGCAATATACGTACTGTGAGATGCCTTAGACAGCGCTACAGGGAGACAGGACGGACAGATGATCGTCCTCGCAGTGGCAGACCACGTGTAACAACCCCTGCACAGGATCGGTGCATCCAAACATCACACCTGCGGGACAGGTACAGGATGGCAACAACAACTGCCCGAGTTACACCAGGAACACACAATCCCTCCATCAGTGCTCAGACTGTCCGTAATAGGCTGAGAGAGGCTGGACTGAGGGGGCTTGTAGGCCTGTGGTAAGGCAGGTCCTTACCAGACATCACCGGCAACAACGTCGCCTATGGGCACAAACCCACCATCGCTGGAACAGACAGGACTGGCAAAAAGTGCTCTTCACTGACGAGTCGCGGTTTTGTCTCACCAGGGGTGATGGTTGGATTCACGTTTATCGTCGAAGGAATGAGCGTTACAACGAGGCCTGTACCCGTAGGGGTGGGTGGGCCACGAGACTAGAGGTGGCAGAACGGTGTGCTCGGGTTGGGGTGTAGGGTTTGAGCATAACCTGAAGGTAAGGAGGGGCAGTTCCTCTTGCTGCTCCGTAGGCAAACACCATGGTCTTGTAGTGGATGCGAGCTTCGACTGGAAGCCAGTGGAGTGTGCGGAGGAGCGGGGTGACATGTGAGAACTTGTTCTTATGCAGTGTTCTTTTATTTTTTGTTAATTTTTTTAGTTTAATATTTATATATTTTTGTTATTTTTAAATTTTTTTTTTTTTTTTTTTCGGGGGGAATGGATCAGCTTAATATTGCAGATAGATTGTATCTTCTATCAATGTAATTGTCTACATCACTTCCAATCCCCCATGTTTTTATTTTATTAATTTTTTATATATACTCCCCTTTATTACTTTTCAACCCCACCATCCTTTCCCTACTTTGAGTAAATTAGTGAACAACAATGCCCAGGCCTCTACTTCCGGTCTATACTTACTATCTACACCTTATGGACAGAGTTAATTTTACAATAATTCTATTATATATATATATATATTTATTTATTTATTTATTATTATTATTTTTTGCTCCTGAACATCTTCTACTCTCAACCTCTCCGATCATTTTCATGATGTCCATCCGGTTTGCTTCTATATGCCATATCTTTCTAACTGTGCTCTTTCCCAAAAGCTCCCAACATACAACCTATATACTTATTATGGACACAGTATGCTTACATTATTAGCTATCTTTGTTATTATTTGTTGTTATTTGTTATTAGTCCCATCCTTCAACTCTATTCAATACCTCCCATCTATCTCTTAACACCATCCATATAGGATTTCTATTTGCCATATATATTTCAACCGTACTGTGATGTTTTACAAAAGTTCTGAACCTTTCTATTCTCATTGCTTCTACAGATTGTGAATTAAAAATAAACATTTTTGCTAAAAGTATTATTATATTATTGATTGATTGACTATGACTTTTCAGATCACCCAGTAATGCCATCTGCAAGGTTAGTTCCAGGTAAATATTGCAATCCTTTAGCCATTCCTGGACCTGTGTCCAAAAACAAGCTACAAATGGACAGAACCAAAACAAATGATCTAATGATTCTGTCTATTCACAGCAAAATCTGCAAAGCTGGGAAGATTGTATCTCCCATATAAATAACATTCTATTGGTAGCAAGAATTTTATATAATAATTTAAATTGAAAGATTCTAATTTTTGAATCCGGTGTCGTTTTGCGTGTCAGTTCATAAACACTATGCCATGGGATCGGTACGTCAAAGATCTCTTTCCAACTACTTTGCAATCTATATGGGACGGCTGTCAATCCTTTGGTCCTTAAGTGAAACTGATATACTTTTTTATTTATCACAGTTTTCCTTAACCAATTATGTTCTTTAATGCAAGGCCGACAGACAAGTTCCTTACTTTCTCCCCCTTCCACTTTCCTCTTCCACTTTTGCGGTAAGGCTGCAATTATTTGGTTGTAATTTTGGGTAGAGCAGACATTTCCATATGTTTTTGTTAGCTGCATGTGCGACATAACTCCACCAGTCCTACCGATGATATCATTTACGAAGATTATACCTTTTTTAAACATTCTGTCAAAAAATTAAGGTTTTTTGTCAATTAGTATATTGAATTTAACCACAATATTTGTTGCATTATTTGTTCTGTCGTTTCTGGAGAATTAAATTGAAATTGCAACCAACTTTCTATGGCTTGTTTTAGAAATAGTGACATTTGGGACATTATTTCCTTTTCAAATAACTGAAAGTGAGAGGTTGTAATCTGAATAAAGGGAAAAAGGCCTTTCTTGAACATTGGGTGAGACAATCTTACTAATTTGCTTGAGAACCAGTTCGGATTTAAGTATAACTTTTGTATGACTGAAGCTTTTAGTGATAGGTCTAATGCTTTAATATTTAATAATGTCTGTCCTCCGAATTCATATTCATTATATAAATATGCTCTTTTAATTTTGTCTGGCTTGCCGTTCCAAATAAAATTGAATATTTTTTTCTCATATAATTTAAAAAACTGTTCGCTTGGCGTAGGCAAGACCATAAGCAAATAGGTAAACTGGGATAATACTAAAGAGTTAATCAGGGTCTTCTTATGCAGTGTTTGTTTCTCTAGGGATCCCATAGAGCCAGTGCAACAAACTTGAACAAAGCATGGCATTATAAGGCTTTTAAGGATATTTTAAGGACATTCTATTTCCCTTCTATTTCATCCCTCCCTAGTGAGATGTGCCAGATGCAGTGGCGGCTGGTGAAAAATATTCTCGGTGGGGCTGTGCCATACTTTTTTTTTCCTGTAACCATCGCGATATATTTTAACACAAACTGCAGGACAGCAGTGCTCAGTGAAACATTCAGTAATTATTTAATGCCAATATTAAAAAGTTGAGGCATTCTTACACAAAAACATATTACACAAACCCAAGCCTTTCATTTGCATTTAAAGTGAACTTTTCACCATTGGTAGTAAACAGGCAACGCAACAGGCATGCTGTCAGAACAGAGTGGAAAGTGGACAATAACATGAAATTATTATAAAGTTTATAGGAAATCTTACACTGTATAAAAGGATGTATAATATAGAAATGGATATCAAGTGGATGAACTCAAACCTTTGACTGGAAGAATAGCATACAGTATTTTATGATCATACTAAATGTGACTAATTGTTAATGTGCTCCAGAACTGCAACAATTAATTGATACAAAACAACATATATACAGTAATATTAGCAAAGACACTATTAAGACTTT